AGTTCCACATAGTATACGTATACAAAATTCCCAAACGTTAACGCTAACACAATGCAAACATTTGAAACCATGGTACTACAGCAAATGCAAAGCACCATTGATGATTCTGAAGAGATACAAAAAATTCAAAGCTACTTTACCAGGTTAAATAAAACATCTCGGATACATAACAATTTGTAAACAATTGGGGAATTGGAATTTGTCTTATAAGTTAAGCATGATATAAGAAGTACCTTCAAGTTAATCCATGCATATGGCAATCCAGTGGGGGTATCAAAAGCAGGTAGAAAGCGCCGCCGTAAATCTTCAGGCAGGATAAGAAGTTGATTCTTATAATTTCTTTGGACCAAGCTGTTTGTAGAATCAGTTGCAAGAATATGAGCAGAAACAAGTCCTCCAAGAACTCTTATGTTGCACTACACAATAGTGAAAACACCATTAAAGACAATCTGATACTTCAAATGCAACTTGATTTAGCACTCCCTGCTAAAGAATAAAACAAAAGAAAAAGAAAAAGCGACATTGCTCAAGCTTTATTTCATTAGCAAACTGAGGCCACATTAAATGAAACTTTGACTCAAACAACTTCACTAAATCCTAAATGAAAAAAATTAAAATACCTCAAAAAGATGTATCCTCGCATCAATATCAAAAGTTAGATTTTCAGAAAGCCAAAGAACAGCCCGTTTCAAATTCTGTGTTGTTCCCCAATGATAACAAGGCTGAGAAACAGAAATAGTATTAACATATACTCTGTTACAAATACTTCAGTGGCACAATCAGTAATAGTATTGAAATAAAATGAAATAAAAAGATATTTGGTGACAGCATAAGAAGGGCATATAAGATAAAAATACAACTACATTGATTTTTAAGAACTTGTCTCTAAGAAAGAGTATATCATACCTGGATAGCGATTCTACAAGTGTGAGGGCAGATCCATGATGCTGTTGTGGCAAATGTTCGAGCTAAAATTTGAAACAATAGGTATTTTAAATTATCCATTTAAAGCTGAATACTGCAACAGATTTCAAAAATAAATAATTACCTTCAAATTTCCTAGCTCGACAAGGGAGTCGGTGAATGTTTTGGCTAGAGGCTTTAGTTCATCATGCTACAGAACCAATGGACCACAACTTCATAATATTCATCAAATATAAATAATATCTCATATAGTGGGAACTAGAACTGACCGGAAAAGCATAAGTCATATAGTTGTCATAAGCATTGTAAAACCTGAAAGGGAGAAAAAGCAGAGGCACATTTGGAACATAGAAATCGCAGAAACAGAGGCACATTTAAACGATACAATCAGAATCCAAAATCCAAATGGACAATCGCAATTTCAACCACACCCATTCACGAAATCAGGAAAAGCCCTAAAAATTTGTGTACGAAATAAATGGGAAATGAAAGGACAAACCCTAAAATTTGTGTACGAAATAAAGGGAAATGAAATGTCCTCCAGATAGAACTAGATAGTCCTCCACAAATTTGTGTACGAAATAAAGGGAAATGAAATGTCAAACCCTAAAATTAATCGTGAGAGAAGGGGATGTGAGAGACATCGACAAACAGATAGAACCAGATAGAACCAGATCGACAGAGAAGGAAAGAGACGACAGAAACATACCTGCGATGGTGATGATGGCCGGTGGTGCTGATCGCCGATTTGCAGTGGTGGTCGTGGCGAGCGCCGGTGGCCTGCGATGGTGATGATCGCCGGTGGTGAGCGACGGGTTTGGTAGGGACGGGTTTGGTATGTTGATGTCGGTGTGTGAGACAAAAGAGAACAAAAAAATTGTGTGTAATAAATATGTACTGGGCGCGAAATTACTTATTTTCCCTCTAAAATTTTTTTCAAACATTTGGCGACTAAACGATTATTTGTCGCCAAAAACCTTAACGGCGACAAACAATTGGTCACCTAAAGATGCCTCTTTGGCTACTAAATTAAAAAAATGGTCGGCAATACTGAATAAACAATGACTAACCCAGATTTGGTCGCAAAAAGTAATCACAAAAATGCCCATTTTTTGGCGACAAAAGTGTTTAGTCACCAAATGATACAATACGGCGACAAAATTAAATGTTAGTAGCCTAAACTGCTCTTAAACAGCGACTAAATGGAAATTTGGTCGCCAATTATACTATATGGCGACTAAAATACTTTAGTAGCTAAAAAGGTTGAATCAATGGCGACTAAAGCTGTTTTTTGTCGCTGAATGTGGTGTTTTTGGCGACTAAAATTAGTTTGGTCGCCAATTTTAGTCGCCAAACATGCATTTTCTTGTAGTGCCTGTACTGCTTAAAATTAGTCCAAATTAAACTTTCAATTTAATAGCCATTTTTTCCCTTACTTCACCCTCCTCTTTTGGTTTCAGACGTCAATTTGGACCTTAATTCAATTAAGTATTCAGAACTAGTTAGTTCTTTTGGTTTGGCAACTATTTTAAAAAATCAGTTGTTGTTGTTGTTGTTGTTTTTTTTTTTTTTTTTTTTTTTTTTTTTTTTTTTTTTTGTATCTTTAGTGGTTTTTTTTAATGTGTTAAAAAAAAAAATTCTAGTCAGTCTAGTGTAAAAGAATCTAAAATTTTAAAAAAAAATTCTACAAGATTTCAATAAGGAAAAAAATTCCATACATTTTTTTTACTTTTTTAACTTTTTCAATTCGTCTAATTGAGTAGAATCTGAAAGTGTAAAATAAAATAAAAATTTAAAAGTTCACTAAAGATAAATATATATACATAACTAAAAAGCTAATCCCAAACACTAACTATAGTTCTTTTGTTTATTAGATACAAAAGTAATACTATACAAAAAAAAAAAAAATTATACATAATGATATGACTTACTGTGAATCTTTCACTTCAAAACAAACTACCTTTGAAAATGAATTTATTTACAATAATAATATTGTCATATCATCTTTGTCAAGTTTTTTGTATAAATTTAATGTATTAATATAATTTTTCTATATACTTTTTTTTTTTTTGGTCTAAGTCAGCTTACGCACATCTTGACTAATCGCCTTCCCAATCCGATCAAAGGCTAGCCATCCACACCAAGACTAGGAAATTCATAAGAAATTTCTTTCTTGCCGCATTACTCCACGAGTTGAACCCTGAATAATTGTGTGGGAAGTATATCCACCAACCATTCACAACAACCCTTAAGATTCTATATACAATTATGCTATAGGTTCTATTATGAATTATCAAAAAAATTATCACCTCTCTCGCATAGGGTCATTGGGTTTAGAAAGTGTGTTTAGAAAATGAAATTATATATCATTTTCTTTTTTAATCACCGGATAGTGAAAGGATTGTTTGACAATTGGAGTTTTTAGTCAAAAAGTCAATAAATATTGGCCTTGTTTGGCAAGAGGGTTAGATTAAAATAGCCTATTAAAAGACCAAAGAGGTTAAAATAGTCAATAAGATAAAATGTCACATCCAGCTCATAATTATTTTATTTTTTCTCTCACAATCATCAAATTAAATTAAATAAAAAAAAGTTAACCAACTTACCAAACACAACTTTTTTAGTCAGGATAAAATAGTCAAAAAGTCAAATAACCAACTAGGTCGATTTTTTGACTATTTTAGCCTGGGTTAAAAAGTCTCGTTTGAATTGAATTTTTTTAGTTTTTTTGATTTTTATGAAAGAAAAAATAAAATGATTAGGGAGCTGTTAAGATGTGCACCTTATTAAGTAGTGCACATCATGTACATATTTATTTTAAACCATTAGATATTTATAAATTAATCTCAACCATCAAATAATTTGATTGAAAATATTGAATACCCTCTCAACCGGTTACAATTTTGTTCACCGATTGTTGCATGTTCACAAACCCTCTTCACTTTGTTTTCCCAAAACCCTCATTCTTCAGACCAATCTGAAGCTCCTATTCGCCCTCTTCAGACACGACTTCGGAGCTCTCTTCAGAGACGACTCTGAAGCTCCTCTTCACCTTCTTCAGACACGACTTCGAAGCTCTTCTTCGCCCTCGAAGACTATCCCGCGAACATAACGTGCTCTCAACTTCGTCTCAAGGTATCTCTCTCTCTCTCTCTCTCTCGCTGCAACTTGTTTCTCTCTCTTTCTCCATCTCCATTCTATGAAACCCTAGACTGAAATCCCCTTCTTCGAAACTGCCCCTTTCACCATTGTGAACTCACTAGGTTGGTTTATAATATTAGGAAAATATGAATTGAATCGGTTGAAATCTGATGTGTATTTACTTGAAATTTGATTTGAGTGTGTGAAATATACTTGAAATTTGGATTGAGTGTGTGAAATCTGATGTGTGGGTGATTGAATTTTGTACTCATGTAACTGATATGAGACTATAATTTTTTATTTATTTATTGAAATCTGTTTATGTTTGTAACAATTACTTTTGTGGTGGCTTGTTTTTCCTATTAGAAAGAAAATTACAGTGGTTTGGAATGTATTACCTTTAGCAATTGTTTGGGATTTGTGGAAAGTGAGAAACGAATGGATATTTTGATGTTACTATGACTTAGTTGAATACCCATTTAGTTATTTTTGTTTTTTTTCATCAAAAGTGTTAAAAAATTATCTCTAATTATTTCATCAAATCTCATGAAGGGAGAGTTATTTTTTTTAACAAATTGAGAACCAATAAAGTAAATATGAATTTGATGGGAAAAAAAAAATGAAGCATTGGAGATAGGTTTTCTTAATCAAATTTGATGAAAAGGGAAGTTTTGGATAAGAGGAAGGTTTTTTTAAAAAGATTTTAATGAAAGGATTTGAGTAGTTCATATAAAATCAAGTTTTTTTTACTCAAATTTGAAATCAAATTAGTTGAAAAAATTGGTGAAAGGTTGGAGATGCTCTAAAATGGTTTATGAGTTACCTTGGAAACGATGAAATGCCAAAATTTGATAGGACTAAGGCCTAAATTAGAAAATCTACAAGGTATTAACAATAAAATAAAAGTCATGAAATGATGAGATTTTTAACACAATATGAGGGAGAAGCTGAGTCTGTAGATTTAGGGTTTTTTAGATGCTCTTAGGCTAGTTACATTGTGAGGTGTTTGATAGGTAGTAGGTTGTGTGGTTGTTGAAGAGGGAGAGATCTATATTTTCAGGTAATTTAACCAAAGAAAATGGTTATATCTGATGAGAACAAGAACAACCCCACCTTGATTAAACCCATAAACTTACAAGAAATGAGTAGCAGAAGGTTTAGGGTGGAGATTAGGCCCAACCGTGGAGCCGTAAGCATGATTAATCAAAATTTAGCTCGAGCTCATCCGTACCCTTGTGTTGTCAACAAGAAAGTCTTGTCAGAAACCCATGAAATTTGTGATAAGTTACCTCCTCATCCAGCTCATAGACCAATCACAAGGAAATTTGCGGCACAGATTGTGAGCAAACAACAAAATTGTCTGGAGAAAACTAAGAAACTCGATTCATCATCTGTTCAAAGCTTCAGAGTCTGGGAAGATTGTTCAGTAATAGATGAGGCACATAAGGCAGCTACAGACCCCCCAGTTCCAATGTCCTTGGAACAAACAGAAGCAGTCCCGGATGAAGAGGAACAAATGGAAGTTGAAATGGAAGATACATTTGAAGAGCCCGTTATGGATATTGACAGCTGTGACGCCAAGAATCCACTAGCAGTAGTCGACTATGTCCACGATGTCTATGCCTACTATAGAAAAATGGAGAGTTGTAGCGGTGTTTCAACGAGCTACATGTCACAACAATCTGACATCAATGAGAAGATGAGGGCAATACTAATTGACTGGCTTGTTGAGGTACACCAAAAGTTTGAACTGAGGGACGAGACACTATTTCTGACTGTTAATATTACAGATCGGTTTTTAGCTCAGCAAGGAGTGGCGCGAAAGAAGCTGCAGTTGGTTGGTTTGGTCACAATGCTCTTAGCGTGCAAATATGAGGAAGTTTTAGTACCTGTTGTGGATGATTTGCTTTTCATTTCAGATAAGGCCTACACTAGGAAAGAAGTTCTTGAAAATGAGAGATTAATGCTTAATACATTACACTTCCACATGTCAGTTCCAACCCCATATGTTTTTATGAGAAGATACCTTAAGGCTGCTCAATCCAACAGGAAGCTTGAGCTTTTATCTTTCTTCTGGATGGAGCTCTGCCTTGTGGAGTATGAGACACTCAAGTTCGCGCCATCTTTCTTGGCTGCTGTAGCGATCTACACTGCTCAATGTACACTCTATGGGTTTAAGCAATGGAGTAAAACCTGTGAGTGGCACACACACTATGCACTTTTTTTTCTTTTTTTTTCTTTTTTGAATTTTCAGACTAAATTTGAATATGCACTAAGATGTTGAATTTTATGATGATGTGAACAGAGGCTAGTTTTCTTGAGTACTGGCCGTCATGCGTTGCTGCTGCAACTATTCTATGTGCAGCCCATGATATTCCAAACTTGTCTATTGTCAATCCTGCACATGCTGAATCATGGTGTGAAGGACTTCGAAAAGTAAGAACATTTTATTATGATTTAGGTTGGGCATACAAAAAAATAGTAAATCTATTCAAATATATGCCAACTTGGAAAATATTTGTTTTTTTTTTGCAGGAGAAAAGCATCAGCTGCTACCAGTTGATGCAGGAAATTGCTGTTGATAATAGGGGAAGGAAGGCTCCAAAAGTGTTACCACAACTCCGAGTGATGACTCAGGTCAGCATCGGGCCGGGTGAATCATCATCCTCATCTTCATCATCATCTTTTAAAAGGAGAAAATTAAATAAAAGCTTGTGGGTAGATGATGACAAATGGAGCTCTGATTAAGGTATAAAACAAAAGAAAATGGTGGTCCCACACTACAGGAAAAAAGGGTTATGGTGGCGTTTTTTTAACGACGTTTTTTTAAACGTCACTGTTATTAACATTTAACGGCGTTTTATAAACGCCGCATATTCTATTACACAAAACGGCACCGTTTTATAATAGGAAACGCCTCCAAATGCGGTAGCCGCACGCGCCTCGTTTTGTGAAACTTTATTTTGAATCGGAACCCTCTCTAAGCATATTACAGCATATTACACAAAACGAAGATTCAGATCTATCTCTCTCAACATTCATATCGAAGCGTATTCTTACAAACCATCTTCAAAATGGTTAGTTCTATAAATTCAGATCGAAGATTGAAGCCACACATCTCTCAACATTTTGAAGATTGAAGCCACACATCTCTCTCTCTCAGTGATTTCCAAGACTCAGATCGAAGACTCAGATCGAAGCGATTTCGAGCTCCATCGAAGATTCAGATCGAAGCGATTTTGAGCTCCATTAAAGATTCAGATCAAAGCGATTTCGAATCTCCATCGAAGATTCAGATCGAAGCTACACCGAAGCGATTTTGAAGCTGCACAGGTGAGGTAGCAAGCTCCACCATCTCATTTACAGAGATTCAGTGATTTCCAGAAGCTTAAATCTGAACTCTGACCCCTCGATTACTCGTATTTCAAGCTCCGATGGCGGTGAATAGTCTACTTTGTTTCTGAACTTTAATCGGTACTCTCTCTCTCTCTCTTCTCGGTTTGTTCATGTCGACAAATTGTCCTTTCGTTTGACTGCATTTTTACATGCTATTAGTTTGGCTGTAGTTTCTCTCTAGCTCGAAACTGGTGTTTGATTTGGATGTCTCGTGGAGTTGAATATGTACATTTTGAGTTTTTGATCACATTAGTTCTATAAATTCCATCCCCATTGCATTCAATCATTGGGGAATTTATCTCTTCTTTCCATGCTTTATGATTTTCCACACATTCAGGTCGAGTCATATATAAGAGTACAATAGCACTGTCTTGGTTTGTCAGGCTTACCATTGTAGTGCTGCATCAGTAAGATTTAGATATAGATACTGCTAAACAACCATCCCAATAAATTCAACAAATATTGTAGAGGCATTTAGAGAGGGGGGTAGCTGGGTAGCGACTGTCGGAGGTGTGACGCCCCACTCCCGGGTCGTTAAATACACTAAAATAGCCTAAAAATTGTCCTTTCGTTTGACTGCATTTTTACATGCTATTAGTTTGGCTGTAGTTTCTCTCTAGCTCGAAACTGGTGTTTGATTTGGTTGTCTCGTGGAGTTGAATATGTACATTTTGAGTTTTTGATCACATTAGTTCTATAAATTCCATCCCCATTGCATTCAATCATTGGGGAATTTATCTCTTCTTTCCATGCTTTATGATTTTCCACACATTCAGGTCGAGTCATATATAAGAGTACAATAGCACTGTCTTGGTTTGTCAGGCTTACCATTGTAGTGCTGCATCAGTAAGATTTAGATATAGATACTGCTTTTTTTGTTTTTTTTTTTAATTTTAGTTTTTTGTTTTTTTTTTTTTTTTTTTTTTTTTTTTTTCTGGTTTCACCCATCAATCCTGTAAATCTGCAAAATTTACTGAACTTTGTTGACGTATCACACAATAAATCTCAACATTCCTTCATTCAAGTATTTCTTAAATTGTACCGAGTCACGAACATGGCCCAATGGCCCATGGATTGTTAAATCTGTTTAATTTATCCTGGATTAAATAAAACTGCTAAACTGTTGCGAATTCTTGAATTCTTTTACTTTGTTTAATATCATCATGTTGAATGATCATTTATTATTATTGTCCCAAATTGTTTTTTTTTATTATTGTCCCAAATTTCTTTTTTTCATTTTAATGACAAAAGAGTATGGCAGGCATTGGATCATGTCATTGCGGAAGCCAGGCAACACGGAGTTCGGCTGCTACTTAGCTTAGTTAATAACTTGCAGGCATATGGTGGGAAGACTCAATATGTCAAGTGGGCATGGGAAGAAGGTATAGGTTTGAGCTCTTCAAATGATTCATTCTTCTTTGATCCATCAATTCGGCATTATTTCAAGAATCATGTCAAGGTAATATTGTGTCTATCTCTTCAGTTTGTTTGGAATCTTTTTTTCCCCCTCTTCTTCAATAAGAAGCTTTTGGATGTTGCTTTTGAGTTCTCATGATTTTATCTTGATCAATAGCTCCTAAAACTGTTTTTATAGCACTTCAATGAGAATTTTGAGTCTCTTTTTAAAAATTGAAGGAAATAATAATTTGTTTTTCATGCATCAAAAAGTCGACAATTATGGGAGTGTTAAATGTCTTTTCTCATTTAGACACTCTAATTCATGGTCCAAATTCTCATAACAACAACAGACAAACCTGTGTGAGTGCAAAGAAGAGCCTAGAGTAGCAGATGGTTGCACATATTTGGGGTTTTACCTCAGCTCTCATTGAAGATTGGTGTCGGGGTTCCTCGTCATCAAAAAAGAAGTTCCAAGAGATTAAAGAAGATAAAAGGAAAATTTAGGGATATTAACACTGCACCTGATTTTGAACTTTCCTAAATCAGATCACTCCATTCCTATCTGGCTTTCAGAATTTGGACAGCTTAACTACTTGACTTGTCTCATAAAATACTCACACTCAACACATTGACATAAACAGTTTTCTATGCCTACGTAGTTTTTGAGTGCTTAAGTAGGGAGTTTTTCTCCATTTTTTGAAGCCTAAGAGAAACAAGTAGGCTAATTTAAATGCTTTCAAGACATTATGGAGTTGGGTCAAATGATATGTAAAATGCAATGGACCAAATAAAATTACACTGGATGTTCTTAGGTTTTGTTAGAATAATTGTCAAAACCCAATCAAATATATATATATATATATATGGTATCTTTGGCAGCACGAGGAGAAATTTATTATGTAGCAACATATCAGATAATAACTGAACATTCTTGCAGGCTTGCCGCAATTCAAGGTGTACTGCCTTCTCAAAAGGATCACTTGAAAGAATTGTGTTTACGGAGACGGTAAAAATCTAATTTATCCTACCAAAAACCTAACTTCTCATGTGGAAACAGGGCCTATTTGGTAATGTCTTCTGTTTTTCTGTTTTTTGTTTTAAAAAATTTTGAAAAATGGAAACAAAAACAAGTTGGTTAATCTTAAAGGTGGCATACCGCAACTTCCCATTTGGGCTTTTCTTGTCAGCCGGGTACAAGAAGATTCCTCCATAAAGCAGAGTACGGTGAACATCTGCTATTGTTAGTAGCAGATCTGTTACTAAATGTGTATTTTACATCTGACTGTCCGCTCTTGAGTGTGGAAGTTTTCTGAGCTAGAATTTAGTTGTTAATTCCCCAATGGTTGTGGGTTGTGCAGGACACCCACTGTCAATCTTGGATGGGATTTTCATGGCTATCAAGGATGATATAGACTGCTATCCTCATCTATCAAAGGGTAAAATATAATTGAATTTTCATTTTCATGAAGTTTTCTTACTCAATTTACAAATGTAGCTCAGTATTCTATGACAAACAGGTGCAACAACGTGGTTTCATGAGGTGCGCCCTATTAAAAAAGATGCAGTTTCTGTATCAAGGTTACGTAGCTGTGGTGTTATTTTTGTTGGAAAGGCAAATATGCATGAAATGGGTCTAGGAACAACAGGAAATAATGCAAACTATGGGTAAGATTCCATGTAGTAGCTATGTAAACAAAGAGATAAATATGATTTCAGTGTTCGACATGCATGCATAACAAGGTGACTGCAGAGATTGTTGAATGGAGAAATAAGACTGTTATATTCAGCGTATTACCTGCTGGTAGCGCGTTAGCTTTACAAAGGCTACTTAATTTATAACGTATCTTGCATCTTAGAATTATATTTGATTTATTTATTTGCTTAAAATTGCTTTATACCCCGATGTTTAAGTCTTTGCAATGTTCTTAGAATTATTTAAATGGACCCCACATAACAATGGTGCTTCATATACTGAACAAGGTGACTGCAAAGATTGTTGAATGGAGAAATAAGACTGTTATATTCAGCGTATTACCTGCTGGTAACGCGTTAGCTTTACAAAGGCTACTTAATTTATAACGTATCTTGCATCTTAGAATTATATTTGATTTATTTATCTGCTTAAAATTGCTTTATACCCCGATGTTTAAGTCTTTGCAATGTTCTTAGAATTATTTAAATGGACCCCACATAACAATGGTGCCAAGATTATGTTTATCTTATATAATTTGAACCACGGTTGGCTTACTGTCAGCCAATCTTCTGCGTGTTTTAGGGGAGGTTTATTGATTAGTATATTTACAGACACCCACACACACACACACATATATATGCATGCAAATATCTTTGTACATTTTTTTCTTTTATGTGATAGAGGGCTTGCTTCATATGCTGTTGGTGTATTGGGTAAGCTATGGATATAACAAG